CGCCCCTTTCGATTGATTGTACAAAGGTTCAGAGACAATCGCCATTACACATGCTATTCTAGAGAAATATATTACATTTGCTCATTTTAATTTTCATTCTACTCCACTTTATTTCTTTTTTTCCACTGTTGGTCACGACTGCGCCGACCTGTTGTAGTGATGCATTGAAGCTTCCAAGATAAATAATTATACCCACACAAGGCGAATTGCCACAAACCCACTGGCGGGAGAAAACGTGCTGGACTCAAATAGTGAGTGTACATGTTGACGGCCTGTAACAGCGATCGCAAAAAAGAATCTTCATGTTGAAATCTTATTGTTTACAACAGCGGCCAAATATAACCGAGTCAATATGATGACGGCTTCCTTGCTTTGATACCACATTAGCACATGGCCAGATAAGGCGTGGAAGTGCGGATAAAACCTTTCGAGGGTTTACTCCACATGGAAGCAGGTCTCAAGGAGACGGTTCCACGGAGGTTCCCATTACTTTTCTTGAACTGCTGGCTATACCTAAGTTGATGTTTACGCTCTAGTTTCCGCGTTTTTATTACTTTTCAATAACTGAGCACCCCAAAGCTTCTCTGAGACCTACAATATGTAATACACAATTTTTCTTCGCCATCTGCGTACATTGTACATATTAAGCAGGCAACGCATTTGGCCTTTGTCTCGCACTGTCGAGAAATATACAATTTCTTTCTTTATTTTGACCACGTCAAAACAACGGGCCAGTTGGCTAGGCCCAGCTAATCGACATACATTATTGGCGCTTGTCATGGTTCTCAACATACTTGAAAGAGTAAATGCGATCGGTACGACTTAACGGCGAGGAAGCCAAGTAAAGTTCTGTAAGTGCCGGCGAATTTCAGGATAACCTTCTAAGTCCGATACTATTCCTACCGCATGTCAACGACGTGTTCCATTGCTTCACCCAAGAGAGGCTATTTATCTTTGCTGATGACGAATGTCGTATCAGCACTCAATTTTACTAGAATAATCACTGAGCTGTCTCATGTTAACAATGATAGTAAGCATTCACATCAATGGTGCAACCTTTGTAAAGTGGGATTTTCGTCAGCGAAACTTAATACGTTTCCGGATTACTATGTAACACATGTTCTTTCTGTGTCAATTTTGCACCAATAGTTTTCTTTTGGTGCATTGTATAATCTGCAAATTTGGTGAATATTCTCCGCCTACTTGCAGAGATCTCATTGCTTGACCTAACTGACCTCTGTGTCCACCATTGTGGACTTTTTCTACAGCAATCTAACCTGTGTTGCACAGTCACCTGACCTCAGACGGAACTGGCATCAACGACTAACCTCGACAAGTGCAACTGTTTGGATTTATTTGAGCTAATATCAGCCGGGAACCAACTCCCAGTGAACCGATAGCGCACAACTAAAAATTGATTGGTTTGTATCGCATTTGCTAATTTTTGCAATGAAAATTTTCCGTAGCTCAAGTTCTTAAGACTGATTGAGTTGTATATTCTCAGCAACCTTCCCTAGCTACTTCATGTAGCCTTCTCATCAGTGTAGTTCACCTTATTATGGCACCCACAGGGCCTAGCCACACCCGATAAGCCTAAAGTAGTGTTTCATACACCGCCCGAACAAAACCAAGGAAAACTGAGGCCCCGACCAAACAGCGAGCCAGTCCTGATCCCACTGCTATTCTTCTTTCAGAACACAGTGATAAGTCCAACTCCTTGGAATCCCAACTCTACGACATGAGAAAAATAGTAGCCATCGTCGAACCAATCCGAGAGCACCTGGCTTCAGTAGACTATCTCAGTAACTCATGGGAGAGTCTTGATTCACCTTAAATGGGAAAGACAGGACAGTTAATCGCCTCAATTGCGTCTGAGATACATGAAAGGATGCATAGATTGAAAAATGTGATCCTTCTTAACATTCCTGATAGACTCAGTTTGGGTAAAGTTAAAACTGCAGTACTTACGGTCTGCAATATGTCCGAGATTAAATGCAAACGCCTTCCTCTAAAAAACAAAATCACCAAAACCTTGCTGCCCGATTGTTTCTAAATTTGCAACTGAGGAATCCGCGAGCCGATTATTGAGTAACCAGCTCACCTAAGCCAAGCGGACACAATTCAAAGACTTATTGATTAAACCAGATCGCACGCCTTTACAAAGATCCCTTAGCGATATTTCGTCACAATCACCAGCTCAAACGGCTATTTGGGTTGTGTTCGCAGACCAAAGCTCAAAAAGACAACTTATCTAATGTGGTAACTGGGTACTTTGAAGTGGATGTGGACAGCTTACGCCATATGATACGGACTTTGGTCACCACTGTTCCTGATGACACTACAATGCCACCTAAGCAAACTCCCACTAACTACCACCTCAACCTTGACGCCTGTGAACCAACTGAATTGAATTCACCATTCTTAACTGCTGGAGTAACTACTAATCATTGGGAAGTGCTTACTATTAAGGGCCCTGTAGCAGTATCGCAAGCTGAGCTCAAAACTCAATGGACCCCCATGGGCACTCAACCTAATAATGTAAAATACCACAGCCACTCACAGTTTTCAACAAAAGATTTAGGCCTGTGCTGAACACGGTAGAAACTAAGATCTAGCAACATATATTACAGAAACACTACATAAAACGACATCCTGAGCCGACAACAACCAGGAACTAAGTACCTTTTGATTCACCTCGCCATAATTCCCTCCCATAACACAAAAGCAGGCACAGTTATGTTAGAATGAAGTATCTCACGTAGACAACGCCACCTCCCAGCCATCTCATATGTGTGCAGCCCTTTTCATCACCCACAGTATGATGCTTTTTTAGTACAGGAGGGAATGGAGCCGCTGCCATTCCCACTGCTTACATACTCGGCAGAAGCCAACTACCAGTTCCCACTGTTCCTGCAATTTTTGCAGATGACTCGGTTAGGCAACTGCCACGCCAACCACAAATTAGACTTTCACCCTCAAGCATCTTCACGTCCACAGCAATATCGGCAATCATCAATGACATAGTACCCATTTCACTATGCCTGCTAAGAATAGACTCGACCCAACTACTCCCACTCATGTCTCCTGCGTCCATAGGACCTGACTACATTACGCGTATAACAACGAACAAAACAAGCTGACCCCCCAACCTAGTAGTCCGTTTTCTGTACTTCTATTCAATGTCAGATCGATTAACAACAAATTATACTTCCTAGGACTGCTTGCATATATTAACGACCCACAAGAAATCCTCGCTACTGAAACGTGGTGCTCCCCGGTAAATTAGTCAATACCATAATGATTCCTAATTATCAGCTTTTCCGAAAAGATCGCCGCACAGGCAAAGGAGGCGGATGTATGATATACCCACACAGTACATTTGCAGCAGAACTTCTTGATCATAAACAGCTATCAAATATTCCCGATTCTGTTTGATTGTCCTTCTCAGGAGCCGGTTCTCACATTCTACTCGGATGTGTTTACAGCCAACCAACTGCGTCGATCCCGAATGTTACTGATATGACCTGAACTACTCCAAGTAGGTGGATAAAAGGCTAGATCGTGGATATAACCAGTTAGCACTGACACAACAACAAGATCAAGTGTCAAGAGTCAACATGTGCCCCGGAACGGCTGAGTTATACGGTTCATTAATGGTCAACTCACTGATGATTGGCTGGACAATGACAATCTGATTGGATCGGGGGATAGCTGGGATGGGGTCATGTGCAGCATTTGGGCTAGGCTTCCATATATGACACCTCGCACTTCTGTTGATATGTCTGTCTAAAGCCTCCAGCCCTTGAGTCCATTTGAATCGGTCTGGTGGTCGTCGATTCCGTACTGGGCGTCTGCGTACTATATCCAAAGCCGGTGCCGATTCCTGGCTTGCATATTCCACTCGATCCGAATTTGCGTCTATTAGTCTCGGCAACGAGAACTCCTACAGTAATAACTGAAAATAAAGCTTGGGATTGCGGTGAGGTAAACCTTGATTTCTGCTGGAGCGAAGTCTGAGCTGGTTCATGTGGCGGTACCAAGTCTCGCCATGGAACTCTATTAGGCAAGTAACTCTCCCAATCTGTCTGGTAACTGCACCCAGAGCTCATCTATTTTTCGGTTGACGTAAACCCCTTACTCGCACAAGGTCATCGAGCTGTAGATTCTACACAGTCCCACGCTGTTGGTGTTGTGAAAATTCTGTAATTTTCCGGTCGGCTAGTTGTTTTTGCTTCGGAATAATCGTATCCCAAACAGACCCAATTTGTCTGCCAAATAGCATCTCTGACGGTGACCTTACATTACACGCGGGATGTGGCGTGATTCGATACGCCATGAGGAAGGTTTGTATGCACTCGTCTGTGGGACCGCCCCCTCTCGATTTGATAATCGCACTTTTGAATGGGTCAACAAAGCACTCCACCTGACCATTAGATTGAGGGTGGATGGGTGGTGTTCGCAAATGAGTCACACCATTGGTGTGGCAAAACGTCGCGAATTCCTCCGAGGTGAACTGTGATCCATTGTCAGTCACAAGTGTTTCGGGTATACCAAAGCGACTGAAAACTTGGCGCAGCTTTCTAATGGTTGTTGAGGTAGTGGTTAAGGCCAACATTGGGATAACCACTGGCGTCGACTACAATGAGATATGATTTACCGTCGACTGGGTCCGCGAAGTCCGCATGAACACAAGTCCATGGGGTTGTCGTTTCCGACCACGGTAATGGCGCCAGACGGTTCAGCGCTGGTTGCGCCATAGCACATCGTTCGCACAGCTTACGCAAGTGCAAGGTATCATCGTCCATTTATGGCCAGTAGACGTAACCTCTGTGCGGGTTATTCCTTGATGTCCCTTATGAAGTTAAAGGAGAATGGGACGTTCAGCAAAAAGCAAACATGAATCAACCACGAATAAACTGTTCTGGTACTGATGATAAGGGATGAGTTAGGAATCAGACTCTTGTGATGGCCAATCTTCTTTTACGTTCTTCATTACTTTACGGAGTATGGCATCCTGTGTTGTGTTGTTGTATGGATTTTAACGAAACTGGTAGGCAATTCGAGGTGTCGCAAATTACCCGATTGATCTCTTGGTTCACTTTAATACTAGCAATCACTGTCTCGTTGCTATCGGCCGGATGATCAGCAATTAATCGAGACAAGACATCGGCTTGCCACAAATCGGTTGTGGATTGGTAGTGGATGCTAAAATCGTATGCCAGTAAAGATAGTGCCCATCTCTGTAAATGGCTGGCGGTGGTTGCCGGGACCTATATGTGTGCCGAATATGGTCAACAATGTTTTTTGATCCGTAAGTAACTTGAAACCTGTACCGTATAGCATTTTGTGAAACTTATTAACAGCGAATACGATAGCCAAGCCTTCCTTTTCCACTCGAGAGTAATTTTTCTCTGCTGCTGATAATGACCAAGCTACGGGGATAACTGCTTTCTCAGTACTGTTTGGGAAAATGTGGGATACCTTAGCTTCGTTGTCGTAGTAGCTTCCATCGGCAGCTACCCTGATCGGAAGTTTAGGATTAAAATCTGTGAAAAGGAGCTCGGAAGTTTACATTTTTTTATCCGATCAACCGCTGTTTGGCACTCGGTCGACCATGAGTAGAGCGTTCAGAGGTGCCTGCAGTTGATGCATTTCCGGGACGAAGTTAGAGTAATGACTAACCATTCCAAGGAAAGAGCGTAGTGTACTGACGTCTTTTGGTGCTGGCATGTTAACAATAGTTGAAACGTTCCCTGGATCGGGACAACGTCCGTTCTGATCGATGATAAACCCCAGGCATTTAAACTGTGGTAAGAGCAAACTGCACTTCTGCAGTCGCAGAAGTCCGTTATTCGGTCCAAGACTTGGTCCAGCCTCAAAGATAGTTTCTCTAGATTGGTTCTCACAACTAAGATGTCAGCTAAATAAGAAGCAACACCATCGATGCTCGTGAGCTGTGTATCCATTAACTGCTGAAAATTAGCTGGCGCTGTTTTAATCCAGAGCGGAAACCGGTTAAACTGAAACAATCCACGATGTGTGTTAATTGTCAACAATTCCTTTGAGCTATCCTCAACAGCGAGCTGTAAATACGCGTCCACTAGATTCAGTTTGGCGAACAATCTATCACCTGAAAGTTTCGTAAAAATGTAACTGGTAGTGGATAGCTATGCGTCTGAATGGCCTCATCAAGACCTGTTGAAAGATCTGCATATACACGGATAGAGCCATTAGCCTTTCGTACTACCACAATGGGAGCAGCCCAGTCAGAATAATCGACCGGTTGTATGACATCTGCTACTTGTGGACGATTAAGCTCTTGCACAACACTGGTTAGGACAGAATACGGTACTGGACACTTTGTAGGAAAAAGGGTTTAGCATCTGTTCTCAACTATAATTAGGCCTTCATTTTGGTATAAGGTCCGAGGCCGTCCTGAAAAACTACTGCGTACCTCTGAAACACCACCTGTAAAATCGTTTGCTGGAGCCCTGCATCGATAATTATGGGTAGAACGCTGATACCCGGTGTCAGTTTGCACACTTTATCAAAATGAATACTCCAAAGATTGAGCTTATCTAGCCAGTCAGCCCTGGCTGATTAGTGAAGTAACGGCGTTTGCTCATTGTAGGTTACCAGACAACCTAGCTCATCAAACTATCCGAGAGTAGTTCTAGATGCACTGAGGGCAGTTTTTTGTGTTGGCAAAATTGCTAGACGTCTGATGGCTTCCCAAATGGATTGTGAAATGATGGTGATGTCCGATTAAGTGTCAATCCGAAGAGTTGTGGGATACACATTAACACTCACTGCCAGGTAGTGCCTACGGGATATCGCGTTGACCTGATGGGTAGCAACAATGCAGTGGCTAGCTTTCCTCTGTGTTGGCTTCGAAGATCGTTTGTTGGAATTGACAGCTTTAGTCATGTTGTGTGGCTTGCAGAAAACAACTTTATGACCAGAACCTTAATATTGGTTACACCGATGCCGGCGAAAAGTGCACTGTGATGCGTAGTGCCATGCGCCACGGTTCCAGCATGCTGTAGGCGGCTTTTTGGACTCCGCTAGGTTTTATTTGACCGGTCTAACATCCATCATGTTGATCTTCCGCTGTTCCACTATACTGGAATCATACTTCAGGTTAAGCGGACGTTTACATTCCTCAGCCATCTGCAACGTGATGTCTGGGTCTTGCTCCAGCTTGGTGAGAAGTCATGTGCGGAAGTCCTCTTCGGACGGAGACTGCAGACTACAGATGAACGTCATACACTTGAACGGTGTTTCTGTCATGGATGCCAGTTTATAGCGTTCGCATTCTCGGTTGGCTATACCTGCATAGGTAATGTAGTCATCCATGGTGCTTGACAAGTTTTAAACAGTGATAGCTTGTGCTGAAGTGGGAGGAACCTTCGCCAAAGATTTGAGTGAGACGCTGAACTGTGTCATCGCCCAGTGAGCAGTTCAAAGCAGACTTGCAGGAACTGATCGCTAGTATTCCTTTGTACAATCACGTCACCACGCCCACTAGATTCAGGACAGAAAACAAACCGTCCATATTGGACCTTGTGCTCACGAATGAAGAGCTCATGATTGACAAGTTATTGATGGATAGTCCATTAGGTCTCAGTGACCACGTAGTAATAACTTTTGACTATGTGTGTTATGCAGAGTATCCATCTGAACACTCGGAACTAACTCATACAATCACACGCTACCACGTATTGAAAGAACTCGCCGACGCAGCTTCTTGGGAATTCTCAAACAAAAGTCCCCTTGACAACGATTGGGCAGAGTTCGTTAATAAGCTCAGCGACATCGTCAACCAAGTGTCAGAGACCAAACCCCGTCGTCCCGCGAAAATGCCTTCAATTATAAGGAGTAGGACTCGCAAATGCCTGGCGATAAGGGATGCAGCATGGCGTGCCTACAAGATTAACCCCGACTCAGAGACTTGGGGAAATTTCCTGGCCCATCGCAACCATTGCACCGCACTTGTCCGTGAGGACAAAATAACGTGTCAACAGTGCCTAGCCAAAAAGTTCATGGCAAACAACAAACTGCTGTATAAGCATGTCAATAAGCTTCGTAAAGTGAAGCATGGAATACCCCCACTATTCACGGCAGGCGGTAGAGTACAAAGCGCCGAAGAAGCAGCTAATGCCCTGCGGCTGCAATACGCCCAATTTTTGAACTCGCAATCTCTACCTGTCCCATAATATCAAGCACATTACCGACACCATTGTTTACAAATGTTATTTTCAACCCATCAATTGTGCTAAGGAAGTTACTCTCACTGCGTGAACATAGTTCTCCGGGAGCAGACAACATCCGCCCGAAGGCACTGAAGGCTATGGCCACCAAGCTAGCTGAACCACTGTCACAGTTCTTTCAAAGGTGCTTTGATGAACAACAAGTCCCCACTATGTGGAAGTGTGGCATTATAACCCCTATTTTTAAAGGCGGTAGCCGTTCCGATCCTGTAAACTATCGTCCAGTGACTCTCCTCCCTGTGCTCGCGAAGGTGATGGAAGCAGTCGTCACTGAGGCTTTAATGGACTACCTGGAAAAATGCAACATCTTGGTACCGGAACAGCATGGCTTCCGTCAACACCGGTCATGCACTACCAACCTACTTATTGCACGAGGTAGTTGGACGGAAGTGGCCGATGATGGGGTCGGAGTCGATGTCATCTATCTGGACTTCTCCAAAGCTTTCGACCGCCTTGATCACCGCATCCTACTTCAAAGACTACAAAGTTACGGAATCGGAGATCCTGTACTTGGTTGGATTGGCAACTTCCTTTACCAACGAAAACTCCAAGTACGTGTTAGGGGATCACTTTCTAACCCCATTGAGGTGGAATGTGGTGTCCCACAAGGCTCAGTGCTGGGACCGCGTTTATTCCTGGTGTTTATCAACGACCTGACAAGAGTCATCTCCTCAAACTTCCTGCTTTTCGCCGATGACGTCAAGATATGGCGGGCGATTAGTAACAAGCCAGATCACGATCTGCTCCAACATGACCTAGATTGCATTTACGAATGGTCAAAGAGGAACAAGCTTCAATTGAACATGGCTAAGTGCAAAGTGATGCATCTGCGTCACCAGCCGGTGAGCGCTTACAAGATTGGAGACCACACCTTGGAGAAGGTTTCCCAGGAGCGTGACCTGGGTGTATTGGTACAGGAAGATCTCGGGTGTTCAAAACAAGCAGAGAAGGCGACGAGAACCGGAAATCAACACTTCGGCCTTCTTCGCAGAGCCTTCGGTCGGTTTGAACCCTCAATCTTTCCCCAAATGCTTAACGCCTACGTGCGACCTCACGTGGAATATGCTATTCAGGCGTGGCAGCCGTGGCAGAAACAGGATCTCGTTGCTCTCGAGACTCCTCAACGACGGGCAACCAAGAACGTCAGGGGCCTCTTTCATCTGCCCTATCAGCTTAGACTGAAATCTCTAAGAATGTACAGCAGTCGATATCGGCTTTTGCGGGGGGATCTCATAATGGTTTACCAGATTCTGAAGAACCCAAACCACATTTGCCGTTCGCTGCTGGAATTGAACCACAACACTAAACTAAGAGGTCACCCTCTGAAACTGACAATTCATTATAG